GTGATGTTGAGTTCTCTTAACATCTACATCTGTTTTCACTTCCACGTGCTGTTATGATAGCATTCACACGCATGCGATATGCTAAAGCATGAAAATACTTACATCGTACTCCGTGCCAAAACAATAAACTAGTTAGCTAACATGCATGATCCTAGTTCATGTCAAATTGACTAATACAACACATACAGGATGCAATTAGAATAGGCTCAGCTAACCTAAACATGGCGTGTGAAATGCAATCAATTGATGCACGTATTCAATTTGGAATTGAAGTACAAATGTAGTTAGCATGATGTACCGAGCCCGGTGCATGCAAGACAAATGTATGGATGCACGCATGCATAGCATAAAGTATGCTAATTTAAACATGACCTATTACTAACCATCAAAGCAGGTAAGTAAAAGGGAGAAAGAAGTGGGGGTTGGAAGACATGCACACACTCACCCACACTTATTACAAATTCGCCCTCGCTCGGAGGGACCAAATAAATATTACAGATAATTAACCTACAAGCTAATTAAATATTACAGGCCATCTAATTAGCTAAGCAAATTAACTATTCTAGGGAAAATAGATAAACCGCCTCGGGAAGAGAGCCTAATGCAATGCGTGCTCGGTCCTGCCCGGAAGTACACTGCCATGCACAAGCTGCCTCTGTTTTCCTTGCTATACTTCTCTAGAGACTGCCAAAGTCTCAAGATTGTTTCCCTGGACATTGGGAGACACCACCGGCTGAGTGGAATGGCCACCGGCAGTGGTATGTGATCACCGACTGTTGGTGAAGCTATTGGCCCAGGACGGATTGCCGGTCGGCACTGGACACTGCCGGTCGGCAGAAAGTTCCTGCAGAATCTGTTTGACAGCAGCAGAGGACAGAACTTTGCATGGCAATGCAATTCAAGCCATATATGCACCTACCAAGCCCCTTTTCATGTGTATGACTCAAAGGGACATGGTCCTTGGTTCTCGGACCACCAATCGCGCATTTCAATGCGTGATGGCCCAAGAGACCAAGCGTGCACGTTTTGATGTCAAATGCAAAGCAAACCAACAAACCAAAGCCCAATTCCTATCACTAGATCAAGGAACAAGACATGTATACTAGATGCAATGCAATCTAGGCATGCGAGCTAGGGATGCAACATGGCAATGCAAACAGGCAAGCAATGAACAAGCATGCAAGCTAGTGGACATGCAAGACATGATGCAATCAAAGTATGCAAAGTGTAAGACATGTAACAACATGTAAAGAGTGGACTTAAACTAATTTGGGCAGCCTTATACTAGGCCCAAAACAGTGGCTAAAGCTTAAGAATATGGGACTAAACACACATACACACATGCGCATGTTAAGGCCTAAACACTCAAGCATCAAAGGGCATCTTTTAAGCACACTTAAAAGGGAATAATCATGGACATGGGGCAGGCATTAAGCTCTGAAAATCATGCACGAACATGGTGCCAAACCAAGCAAACAAGATAGGCTAAACATGCAACAAATGGCCCAAGCGTTCAAGGCAAGCTAATGAAGTATTGAACTACACTTAGCAAGACCAAACATGGCAAGACTTAAATGACCAAAAACAGAGTTTTAGCACATAAAACAAAGCCCAAAAGACCACTTAGATGGCACCTAAATGGCTTGAATTCAAAAGCACACACAAATGCACTTTCAAGGAGCATACCACACAAGCTCATAAGTCATCAAAGAGGCATCCAAGGCAAGCATACAAGCATGCTAAGGGGACTAAAATGATGCTATAAACGCTGGCAAATCATTAAAACAAAGCAAGTAATGCATGCTACACACTCGCACACTTAAGGCCAACAAGCCGAAATGCAAAGGGGCTATGCCAAACACAACATGGCCTACCAAAATGACTAAGGACAGACTTTTAGCATGGCAAAATAAGCACAAAAGCTTCACAAAGCTCGACCTAAAACATGCTTGAACAACGGTTTACAACCTAAGGCATGTTAAGGCCTAAACATGGCATTACATGGTAGGCATGCTAAGCATGCATGGTGTACCAAAACCAACTAAAAAGAGAGACATATTATGACATAATAAGCACAAAAAATAGCTAAGGCATGAAAACACATCATGGCCGACCAAAATGACTAAGGACAGACTTTTAGCATGGCAAAATAAGCACAAAAGCTTCACAAAGCTCGACCTAAAACATGCTTGAACAACGGTTTACAACCTAAGGCATGTTAAGGCCTAAACATGGAATTACAAGGTAGGCATGCTAAGCATGCATGGTGTACCAAAACCAACTAAAAAGAGAGGCATATTATGACATAATAAGCACAAAAAATAGCTAAGGCATGATAAACATGGGCCTAAACATGGTGCTCCCTCAAGAGGCCAAAAACGGTCCTTTTCAAGGACAACAAGAAGATGGGGTGGCCCTCTCCTCCCTAGGACCTCAAGGCACCATCCTCACCTCTGAAATCCCTCAAGATTTCAGTGGTGAGGAGGCCCAAACACCAAGGTCCCGGAGCTCACTCAAAATAGCACAAAATGGGGCCTCTCAAGGCCTAAGAGGGGTCAAACACCTCCAAACCACAAAACACTCTAAACAAACTATTTAGAGGGCCTAAAAACAGAACTTTTTTATATTATACACTAAGCTCAAAAACAGTTCTAAGATAGGCAAAAATAGTATGCAAAAATGGGGAATAAAGGAGTAAGATTGTTACCCTTGAAGACCCTCTTCAGAAATGAAGCTCCAGCAGCTTCTTAAGCTCCAAACCAACTCCAAAACTCTGAAAACAATCCCTCAGAACCTCAATAGCCAAGGGAAGGTGTAATGGTAGGTGTTTGTGTGCAATACTATGAACAAATACACCTAGAACACTCAAGAGAGAGAGATATAGAGATAGAATGTATATAAGTTCTAACCCTAGAACCAGAGCTTCTAACAATGTCTTTTCTCTCTAAAAAATGTCTAACCTAAGGCAAGGGAGAGGGGAGCTCCTCTTATAGAGGAGCCAATCTTGAAAAGCTTACGAGGTAAGCTAACAAGAAGGCCATCCCTCCATACACGTGTATGGAGGGGAACAAAATGACATACAGCTGTCTTAAAATATCTACAAAAGAAGATGAATAGTAATCGGCTACTCAAAATTGCCATTTTGTAAAAAAGTAGTGCCGACCGGCAACAAAGAGTGCCGACCGGCAATATATGTTGCCAATGGGAACAAAACACCAGCCGGTGGCCTCTGGCCATGGCCGGTGATGTGTGGGGATGCCTCACAAGGCATTCCCTGCCCCTCCAAGGCAAAACACAAGTGTTTGGTGCAAAACCAGACACTAAACAGTCGAGTTCGGAGATCCTGAGGCAAGGCGCGTAGCCGAGACCTCCGGGAACTCCAAACGAACACAAACAAAGATGATCACCGAGTGTTCAAACGATGACGTCCCAGTCTTGAGGACAGTCAAAAATGGGGTGTCTACACTTAGGCACACCATGCTTGCTTAGCATACATGCCTTGTAATGCCATTTTGTTGCCTTAACATGCACCTAGGTTTTATCCCTTGTTTTA